CCATAGAGGTAAATTTCTGGAGCTAACACTGTATGGATGAAAAAGTGAAATTTATGAAAAAAAAACCCAAACTTATGGCACATTATCATAATCATTTTCCTAATGTACAGTTAAACTTGCCTAAAGTCGACTGTGCCTAAGTCTAATCATTTCTGAGTCGATCTTATTTTACATGCCAAATTAAAAATCTGTTATTAAAGTCAAATTTTATCTAAGTCCAACAATATTTCAATGGCATTTTGGATTCGACTTAAGGCAAGTTCAACTGTACAGGTACAAGGATTTGGAAATTGTTAAAAGGTGGGGGATTTGACAGCCCGTGTTTGCTGTGATAAAAATGAAAAAAAAAAAAGCATCACTCCAACCAAAGTGTACTATAAACAACAGCATAAAACAGGCTTAAGCCCCTGCCCACCATCCTGGAAGGCCAATAGATTTTCAGTCTACATTGTACTTATCGCAACGACCACATTTTCTACACTTTGTAGGTTGAGGTTCACTGTAATTCTGCATTGAAAGTATCTGTATTAGTTTGAAATTCTATGAAAATAATTGCAATTACGGCAATCTGCGATAAAATTGAAAGTTCTTGCAAGTAGTATAAACATGTACATATGTATTTTAATTATAAATGAAATGCTGATGACATTTTCAAGCAGGAATGGTTGAATTATGCAGCTTCTAATAACTCAAAGCTTGTAAAGTCATTAATAATTGTCTTTCAGACAGAAAAAAAAAAACAATGTTCGTAGATTTAGGTGGAGTGACATGTTTGAGTACGAAAAACAATAAATTCATAACAAAGATTTAAAAAAAAGATAAATCCCTTCATTTCGATTGTCTATACTGCAACATCCACTGAGCATGAACCTTGTCTTAATATAGGTCACACTATTACACCAGATCTTATATACATAAAATGCATCAGTTGTTTAATGGCGGTTGTAAACAGAAGTTGTCAAATCTCGCTCCGTTTGTATATAAAATAATTTGCTTTTTCTTCTAATTTATACACATAGTAATCTCAATGGCCTCTGTTATTAGGATAGTTCTAATAGAATTTTCTTATCCATAAATAGTCATATAAATTACTGTAATGTGTGATGTGATGTTAATTGTGTTGGACGAAACATTACTCTTATGATGTTTGGGATAAGTTATTGCACTAACACAAACTTAAATTAATAACATAAAACAAATAAAAATAAATTACTTTTATATACTATTTGCTAAAAATAGGTACTCTTTAAAAATGCCATTAAATATTTAAATTTAAGGGGTTCATAATAAGTTTAATTTTTACCGAGAAACAGATAAAGAATGTAATTTTCGCAGATCTACAGACGGATCTACAAAAATCCTATTTTTAATGGTTTAAAGCAAAAGAATACATGAACTGTCAATTAATTGACGGGTACATTTTTTTTCTTATTAAAATTTTTCATTGTAAGCTAATAACTTGCTTAAACACACAAATTAAAATATAGAGTTACAGTGGAGCAGGGGAAGGCATTAAAATGGGTAGGAGGGTCACAGTGAATATGCCACTTTATTCTCAGTTTTACAGTACTTATACTTTTTACAGGTGATCAGTCCCGGGCTGCAAAAAACAAGGTGTTTCCCGGGCTGCAAAAAACAAGGTGTTTTCTAGTCAAAGATGGTTGGCGGGCACACGTAGGGCTTCATTCATTTTCGCGGGCCGCAAACACATCACTGTCAGGCCTCCCTTGCCCACCTGTGAAATTAGTAGATTAATTCTATTTTTCTCTCTAATTTAGATCATGACAGCAAGTACATCTTTAAAAACAAATTTATTAAATGACAGCAAAAGATATAAACAACTCTCAGTGCAAATGTTGATCCTTTTGTTTACTTTTAGTACATTGTACATTTATACGGCTGATTTATCAAAAATATCATGAGGAAGTCAAGTGAAAATATTCAGTCAATGAAGGTCAGATGCACTCATGGGTGTGTGTAGAGTACATATGTTATGATATAAATACAATTTTTCAATAATTGTTTGTAAATATTTAATGTATTTGAGATAGTTCATCTACAGTAATATAAAATATAAAGATTGTCTAAATACCCGTATCAAATGAAAAATATAAGGATTATACACAGTAAGAGATTTTTCAAAAATATAAAATTATAATATTTTAGAAGGAATATAGTTACAAGCATTTATTTTTGTATACTGTGAAATAAGTATTTAAAAAAAAAAAATTATATAAATAAGAAAATTCCTGTAATTCTTGTAATCAAATTTTTTTCAAAAATACAATCCAATGATAGTGGTAATTTTATTTCTCTTTATCTCTTACTTATTTTTTTCTTATGGCAATAAACACAATAATTTATATTCAAAACAGGAATCTTTACCTTCCAAATGGACAGCAATGCAGTAAAAACCTCTCATCTTTAACAATACCAGTCCTGTCCACACAGAAAAGATGAACGATAAAACAGATTTAATAATGTCAGATCCAAAAATTTTTATCGATCAAGAAACTGATAATCATCTACGATTTCATAGCACATTCTTCTTTGATGACCTAAATATCAAGTAAACTCATGAAACTGACTCGACATTTCGACTGCTTCCAGCACGACATAGTCATAAGTGCCGATATCATCAGCTAGACCACGGTCGTCATATCGGCACTTATGACTAAGCGTTGCTGGAAGCAGGCAAAATGTTGAGTCAGTTCTATAGTAAACGCCATTCATACTTGTACTTGATATATGGATCATAAAAAAACATATTATACAATAATATTTGTTATCAGACCCAACAAATTTATTTAATACACATTTAATTTTAATAAATAAATTTTTAATAAATATATAATTAATTAAATAAATAAATATTTCTTCCTTTATTTATAAAAATTTAAAGCAATCAATCTCAATATCTCAAAAATACACTGTTTACATTCATTCATTCATTTTTATTTTCTCATACAGAAGATTCTTAAAAAAAATCACTTTGAAAATAAGAAACAAATAATAATTTTGATTTTTTTTCCTGCCCTCCTTTGATAATCTCTAAAAAACACAAGTTCGCTATAAAACATGTTCTTAAAAAAGTCTCGGCTTAGCTGAGATGCAATTAATGGCATATCTGCATTTGGTCCAATATCCAATTCACATGACAAAGAAATACTACAGTACAACAAATTGTAAGGATATTTTTCCCAGCAAAGACATTAGTCATGGGAATGATCATTGTATATCTGGGTAAAAAAAAAAAACAGACCTCAAAAAGGCATATGAATTTACCAAAATATTTTTGAGGTTTTTAGGCACTTTTAGGGGATGAAAAGGGCATTTATAAAGATTTTTCAAAGATAAATATTTTCCCCTTGTCCCCCAGTGGTTACACCATCGGGCAGCATAGATCAAAGGAGTTATGACAGTTTTTGAAGTGGAGAAGGGGTTGCAGGGTGTTGTGAGTCATTATGATATCTTTTTTATTCTTGTCTTTATTTTTCTCTTTTCTTTTTCTTTCCTTTTCTTTTCTTCTTAATTTAGCATCGCACGTAGCTTCACTACAGTACATCAACTGTACCCTTCAGTTGGGAAATATCAGAACAAAAGATTCCTGTTAATAATTACTGTGGTCCAGGGCGGATCCCCCGCCACCTATTTCCACTATTAACTTTTAAAATTTCAAGGCACATATATATATTGAAGGCGATATCATTTATCTATTTTGAATATGTTGTGCCCCATTGTTTGAAAAATTCTGTATCCACCCCTGTGGTCCACTGTCTGTCATGAGTATAGGATCTTATTGAAACAATTCTAAAATTCTACTAAAAACAACTCAAATTAAATTAAAGCTCTAAAAACATTTTATAAATTAACTTTATGTAATAATTTATTTTTGAAAAATAAATTTGAGTAGTTTCCGCACAAAAAACTGCAAAAAAACAGCAACAACACATAAATGGTGTGCAAACAATATCATTTCAGGTCAATTACAAAAGGAAAGGTTAAATAAGAAAATATTACCCTTTTGGATCTTCTATTCTTTTCTTTCCTACTTCCTGTACAACAAATGAAAGAAACAGCTTGTTAAAAAGTGTTGTATAAAAATTATAAAGCCGCCATTTGACCAACTTTTGTAAAAAACAGCTGTTTGTAGAACAAAAATTCAAAATTAAATTGTATTCGTAGATTCAGCATAAATTCTTCTTTAAAACAGTGTTTATTTGATGGAAGTTGGTTGAGTTAGCAAATTTATGAATGTTTAATTCATTGGATATCAGCCATGTGATAAAACAGTAGCTTCCAAAAAGATTCTGAAATCAATAGTATTTATTTATTCCTTTTACTCTGCATGCACTTTAAAGCACTTGAGTACGTGTGCATTTTGAATGTACAGTATATCGTGATTAAAATTTAATTTGGATGTTAGGTATGTTATTAAGATTTGTATTTTAAAAACTATTTTAAAATACTTTGAAATTAGATTTAATGATTGATATTTTGCAGAAATATTTTTCACTAAAATCTTCTTTTAATTTATAAAATGCAACAACCTAAAAAATTGTTCAGAATTCTGATTCTCAAATGTTTTGGGTGCCTGTTTGAAATTAAGCATTGCGACAAATGGCAGGTTTTTTCAAGGCCGTCCCGAGGCAAAACAACGTAACTGATTTGGGAGTATTCAACACACCTGAATTACCTGTGAAAATTTCAGGTCTCAATAATGAGACTATTGGGAAATAGCACCACCTACAACTTAGTGGTATAAGTAGTAGGCAGTGCATATGATTGCCCAAACATGATAAATCCCTAAAATATGTCTTACTTGCAGCAATACCGAGCCTGACATGTTTTCGAGGCAAAACAACGAATCTGTAATTATCGCTAATAACTTTGCAATAAACAAATGGTTGTAATTAAAATTCTACATATAACAATATCAATAGATTATACAATCCTGCAAAATTTCAAAAAGGGTGTACAACAATTTATTGTAAATTTCTGAACATGCAGGGGTGGCACCAGCGGGGAGAGGGCCGGGGGCCAGGTCCCCAGTCGGGGAGAGCTGCCCCCCTCCCCTGTCGGAGAGAAAAAGCACAATTCGTCAAGGAGAAAAAAATATTATGTATTTTTTACATATTAGTAGACTCTAAAATCAATTAAATAAGACTTTGAAACCCCTAAATTGCCAAAATTTTCGGGGGTTTCGCCCCCAGGTCCACTTTCGGGACCTTTTAATGCAAACTTTAACTCTCTAAAAGCGAAAATTTCAAGTTTGTAAAGTCAAGTCATGTAAAATTTGATATACAATAGTTTGGACAGGGCTTTTTCAAGGATCAAATTTGAAGGAAAATATATTACTGTTGTTTTTGAGAAATGTTTAATACAACATTAAATAATAATAATTCTTGCAATTTCATCTTTGTATTTTCTGTTTGCTTTTATTAAAGAAATAAAAAGGTATTCTGTCAAAGAAAACAATACAATACCTTTACTAAATTACAGCTCTGCATATATACATTATACGATTACCGTAGTATATACAGTACTCGTCTATAAGGCAACCCGCATATAAGACGGCCCCCAAGTTTGAGAAGATTTTTGGGCGGGGAAGTTTGGAAATTCCATTGGACCGAGTTGGAAAATGATTAGTCAGAAGATTATTCTGTTATTAAAGAAGCTAATATCATGAACAATGCTATAAAGTTCTTTCTTCTAGAATCCAGTCAGCTGCGGCATAGGTGAAGCATCGTCATAAACCCAGTTCCAATGTACAAATTCATTAAAAGTTGGAGACGGAGTACTACTTCGTAGGAAAGTGTTCAAAACTAGACACAAGCTGGCAGATAAATTTGAAGATTGGTCATATTATTGACCCTGTTAACGATGAAGGTGAAGTGTTTGGCATACGTCTAGAAATTGGTGGTCTCATAACTATGTAAATCGTAGGCGATTGTGTCTAGACCCTCGTGTTATTGAAGAATGAGATAACAATGATGATGATGACGATGATAATGATATCACAATGATGATAATGACAATCAATTTATAATCAATATGACATCACAATGACGATAATGACGACGATAATGGCTGTTATGATGATGGTGATGATGATGATGTTCTTCAAAGGTGATGTATGATTCACAAAATTGTAGTTAAATTGTCTCAATCACAGAAAATGGTTTTTAAGAAAAGTTGAGAACCAACCTGCTTTTTTTTGGTTACACTTGCTGATTTTCCTTTATCTTGTTCATCCATTCTGAATGTCAGATCAATTTATTGAAAATCTCATCAAAATTAAGTTAACTGAAGACAAAAAAAAAAGACAGAAAACTTTAACCAAGGATTGTAATTGGTAAAAGGCATATGGGTAATCCTCTAATCAGCTACAGAGCCTAAAACGAATGAAGGTCATTGTATGAACCTCCGCAGTGGACACAATCTGATTGAGGGTTCAGTAGAGGAAACGTGGGTAAAATGCGGCCCGATGGTGATTTTGGTGAGGCCTGCCAACCACCTACAGTATGGCTAAATAATCACAGTTTTGTACGGCCTGACACCGATCATACGTAAAAGGATTTTAAAAACATAGCATAAAGCGGTATAAATAAAAGCAGTGCATGCAAGTTTTTTTGAAGCACAATGAAAGTTTGGGTAAAGTCCTCAGTGTAAAATGAAAAATTCCACCGACTCACTTTTATGGCAACCACTGAGAGGAAACCTCCTCCATGACCGAAATAAGTATGGGGACTACAATGTATTTGTGATTTTGTTCCCTGATGACACTTACACGTAATAGCAAGTTGTCTGAATATACTCAAATATGAACATCAACCCAAGCGTACAATACCTCTGCGAACCCCTAATAAGCTAAATGCAATGTATGTCAAACGTGTCATGAATGAATGATGAAGGGGCTTCTTGGGGCCGATGTGATGAGTCTGAGTGAAAAAAACTCCTCTGTACTGTGTACGCACGTTACTATCATCAGTAGACTAGTACCGAGTATGTCACGTATGCCTTGTGACCGTTAATGTAGGGTGAAATTATGCCGGTACTTGTTGTCCATTCATTGGAAAGAAAAATGTATAAGTTGAGCATTTTCGCTATAGTAAAGTTCCAGATGGGTTGGACATGTAAGGACAGACAATAACAAATTCTCAAATTATTACATTTTGCGTATTGAACAGTACGTTGTCTGTAATTAAAAATCGACCCCAGCATACTTCTGCAGACGCCTACAAACAATTAATGGATACAAAGTAGGCCTACTGTATGTCAAACGTATCACGAACGAATGGCAGCTTACACGTACGTACACCTGAATTAAAAACAAAACATCGAACACAAGTTGGCTCTATTCGCTACAGTGGGATAAGGACTAAAGATCCAGAGAATAAGTTATCGTAAAACTATGCTACACTGAATGTTAACTACCTGCCAAGCAATAACCACAAATCAAATTCATTTCAGAAACAGTTGAAATTAAGTTACAACTAAATAGCATTGCAACAATTAGGCCTAATTTTTTTTAAATGTTGAACTTTTTCCTGTCTGTCCGGCCCCTACATGTCTGTCTGTATATTCTGTTACGCATTTGTAGTGCTAATTGGAGAAGACAAGTTAATTAGCGTACAATAGGATTCCATAGATACATCCATCATACTGCAAATTAAACGTTATCATTTAATCGCAAAGAAATCCTGTCCTTAATTTAAATTACTATTAATTATCTTGTTCGGCTGCCTTCATTCGTGTCGCAGACATTACAAAGATTAGATTTTTTTAGATCATGATAAACTATTTTAAATGATCAATCCATTACAATTTGTATATTATGACCCTAAAATTAATGGATGATACCGTTTTAAATGGTAATTCATAGAAGAGCACATACATAAAAAGCTGGTCATTAATATACACGTGCACTTTTAGAGATATTGCATTCAGTTTTAAACATATTGTTGACACTAAATCTAATCTGAACAGCTGGATATAGGACTTTTCTTTTGCAATTGGTCTTTGCACTCTCAAGCACAAAAACCCCACCTGAGCCTACATAATATTTCTGTTCATCAATGTTTTGAGTTCATACCAAACTTTTAACAGTTCTACCAATAAATGCAAAGTACTAGCAAATTCTTGGTACAGGTCCATTCCAATTAAAGACCATTTTTGGGGTCAGGGTTTCCATCAACTTTTAAATTTGGTCTCTAAATACATACAAAAGACATTGTTAAATTTGGGACACTGAAAAGTGGTATTTAATTGCAGGGGTCTGTAATTAGTAATTATAAGAATACCTGTACTTGCAGATGGTGCATTTAGTTGAACTATCTTTAACATAAAAAAAAAAAAAATGCATTAATAATGCCAGATGGTTTTGAGTTTAGCTGTACATGTTCTTTAATAAAGATTAAAGCAAAAGTTTCAAGACGACCTGTTTCCTATGACATCACAAAACATTTTGTTACTAGGGCCGGTCAGCCAAATACATGCAATGAGCTTTATACACAGTACGCCATTGGTGAAACATAATGCAGTACATACAGTATTGCATGTACTAGAGAGTTAGACAAAGAAAGAGGCAAGATGAAGTAAATCAAGGTGAACAGACTTGTAGCAAATAAATATTACTCCAAATCATTTTGGTTGGGGCTTATTTTGAAGTCAATTTTCAGAACATTGGCTTCTACTTTCCAAGCAGCATCCCCAAAATTGACAATTTTGCAAGATCAAAGAGATAGGCCTCTTATTATACATACCATTTTTCGCTTAAACTTTTAGCAAACGTAATAGTTTTACCACTTTTTGGCTATTTTTGTAGTTCAGTATGGTCCAACTACAATACTAGCTAATTTCTTACATCAGGTTTTACTATTAGACTTGACAGAACAATTCTGGATGCAGATATTCTTCGAAAAAAAATCCAATGTACTGTACATCAGATATTATTTTAATAATGTGAATACAGAATATAACAATCTCAAGTGATAACTCTGGACATAAAATGCTCATTAGCCAGATGGTCATGAAAACGCCCATTAAAAGTTTATGGAAGCTATTTAAAAATCAATAATAAATTGTCTGCCAGAGGATGTAGTATGTACACATCAACAGTAAACAATCATGCATTCTAAACTAGAAATTGCAAATTGCAAGTGAAGTGCTGCGAAGTACAACTGCATATAAATGTTCTTCAAACAAAATTATTTATGCGAGTCAAGTGAAAATAATGAATC